ATGAGATACCACCTCACACCTGTCAATGTAGAATGGCTAACATTAACAACTCAGGCAACAACAGATGTTGGCGAGGGTGTGGAGAAAGAAGATCTCTTTTGCATTGTTGGTGGGAATGCAATCTGGTGCAGCCACTCTGGAAAACAGTATGGAGGTTCCTCAAAAATTAAAAATAGAACTACCCTACAACCCAGCAATTGTACTACTAGGTATTTATCCAAGGGATACAGGTATGCTGTTTTGAAGGGGTACCTGCATCCGATGTTCATAGCAGCACTATCAACAATAGCCAAAATATGGAAAGAGCCCAAATGTCCATTGATGGATGAATGGATAAAGAAGATGTGGTATATATATATATATATACAATGGAGTATTACTTGGCAATCAACAGAATGAAATCTTGCCATTTGCAAGTACGTGGATGAAACTAGAGGGTATTATGCTAAATGAAATTAGAGAAAGACAAATATCGTATGACTTCATTCAAAAGAGTACTTTAAGACACAGATCAGATGAACACAAGGGAAGGGAAGGGAAGCAAAAATAGTACAAAAACAGGGAGGTGGACAAAACATAAGAAACTCTTAAATATGGAGAACAAACAGGGTTCCTGGAAGGGTTATGGGAGGGGGGATGGGCTAAACGGGTAAGGGGCATTAAGGAATCTACTCCTGAAATCACTGTTGCACTATATGCTAACTAATTGGATGTAAATTAAAAAAATAAAATAAAATAAATAAAAATAAAAAATAAAATAAAATAAAATAAAAATAAAAATAAAAACTTGAAAACAATCTTAAAAAACATTCTCCTCAGAAGTGTGGCATTATTTTACATTTTTGCAATTCCTGAATGTCAAATTTAACAAAAGGCAAATGGATTCTGATATCTGCTTTCACATTCAATTTATCATAATATGTTATTTTGGCTGAAGTAAAAGAAAATCTGAGCTCACATACATACATGGTTGGAAAAGGGGAAGAATTTTAATAGCCTGTCAGATAATTGTGGATATTCTTCTTTGATATTACACAAACCTCTTCAAGTGGTAATTTCTTAAAGGTTAGTTGCAATGTTGGAATCCGAAACCATAGCAATGAACTTTCTGTCCTTTGTTACTTTAAAATCCATTGATCTGTCTTACTGTTTGAATGGATCTTTTACCTATAATGACTTTGTAAGATTCATTGGTCAGATGAAAAGCATAGGTTCACTGAGTTATGTACATTTTCCGGATGCTGATCTATTTCATCATTCAGTATCAACAAACCATATTCATCATTATCAATCTCATTAGAAAAGTCTTTAGTAGGAGGAAGTCATCCAGTTCACGGTGGCAGAAGCGACTTTTCCAAACTATGAATATTCACTTGAAAGCTCAAATTTTATCACTGTCAACAAATACTACAAATTGTTTTCCTTGACATGGCAGGTTCACTTTGTTCATTTTTGAGAAAAGTTCTGCCAAACACCCCAGTCCACATACCTGCGTGTCTGCCAGGCGTTCTGGAGCGTAAAACTGGTGTTCCATGAAAAAAGCAGCTAGTTCAGCTCACAACTCAACTGGAAAGCTGCTTTACCTCCCACTTCATCACAAAATACTGCCTTATGGGTCAGGATTTAACAAATTTAATAATCTCCACTGCTTCATCAAGGACATTCTTAAATGAAGTCAGTTGTGTTTTGTTTTTTAACTGTGAGTAAGAGGCAGTGAACGATTACTAGAAAGGTTGCTTCTTGTGCTAAGGTGCCAGCACGCCAGTGCCTGTGTGGTCTGACCCTGCTTACTCCAGCCTCGTCTCCCACCGCTCCTCCTGCTCTTCACCGTGCAGCAATTCCAGGCTGCTCGGCCTCTGTTCCACTGCCGAGAATGCTCTCCCCGCTCCCTGGACACCTGGCAAATTTCTACTTAACTTCTGAGACCTGGCTCAAGTCTTCTCTTCTCCCATGAGCCTTTCCGACTCTTCCTCCCACAGTCTCCACAAATGCCCTCATGGTTGATCATCTTCCATTCAGGGACCCTGCTGTGCCCTTAACAAGTCTCCGCTGTTACACTAAGTACAGTGGCTGTGACTAACTTCCCATGTGTTCCCTTCCCAAACTATATATTCCCTGAATGCAGGAACTATGTTCTCACTTAGCTCTGTATGCCCAGCATCTACTATAGTACAGAATTAAAAAGAAAAGAGTCTACAGGTCAATTATTCATTCACGTGTGGGCTCTGCAGTTATATGAGCATCTCATATTTGAGTGGCACTGATTTCTTTTTAAATTTTTTTTTAAGGTTTATTCATTTTTCAAAGACAAAGAGAGACAGCGTCAGCAGCGAGGGAGGGGCAGAGAGAGAGGGAGACACAGAATCTGAAGCAGGCTCCAGGCTCCGAGCTGTCAGCACAGAGCCCGACGCGGGGCTCGAACTCACGAACCATGAGATCATGACCCGAGCTGAAGTCGGATGCTTAAGTGACTGAATCACCCAGGCACCGCTGAGTGGCACTAATTTCTACTTGATCCCTCTGTCCCCATACTCACAGAGTGAGAATACTGCACTAGAAAGAAACAAGATTTTGATGAACCTAGAATGTCAGACAAGTTTATAGTCTGTCCTATAAACAAAGAAGAGTCACTTGAAATTTTTTAAGAGAAAAATACAATTAAAAAGACTATGAGGAAGTGTAGTCTGCAAATAGGATACAGAAATAATGAGAAATGTGAAAGCCCCAAAACAGAAAGACCAGTCAGGATGAGGTCAGTGTAGTCTGATCAGAGGCCCGGGGCTGCTGACCCTTGCCCTTAATCCCTGCAATCCAATTCCTGATCCCTCCATGGGATCATGGACACGTCAGGCAGACCTGGGGGGTGAATCCCACCCTTAGCTCATTTGTTGCACACCTACCACTGGCAAGTTATTAACCTTCCTGTGTCAGTTTCCTTACTCATAAAAGGACAAAAACATCTTACTCAAAGGGTCAAGATTAAACAACACCACTTTTACCAATAACTACTCTCATTGTAATGATGATGATAATACTAAAAACAGTAATGGTGGCAGCAGATAACATGGTTCACTCTGTGCCAGGTACTGTGCTAAGTGTTTTATGTCACCTGTTCAACCTAGAGTCCTGAACACAGTAGTCCTTAATAAAAAGTAGCCCCATAAGGACTAGCCAGGAATAAGAAAACATACACGAAATGAAGTAAAATGTATATGCTTAGCTTTTCACACTAAATTCTAAGCTATTCAAGAGATTCAGAGCTGGGTCTAAATACATTCCAAAATTCACTTGAACATGGTAATAATGTCATATTAACCTCTTTCCTAAAGAGAAGTCAGTTTTTCCTTAAATTTCAAACTTTACAACTTATTTGAATTCGAGACACTCTAGTAACATTTTACCCCAAACTCCTAACAATCTATTTGTTCTCTCCTTATCCACCACTTACTGGTGCCTCATGGGCCAGGGGACTGGGCTGGGCACCAACATGCCGCTCCCTGCTGTCCCTGACATCGACCAGAGTGAGAATCGGATATTAAGCATGCCTTGCAGAGGGAACAGGCGAAGGCAAGCGGGAATGAAGACAACTGGCATGTCAGATGGGACACGGAGCTGGAGAAGAGGGTTAGGGAGGTGTGTAGGGACTGGAATAGCATGCTAAGTCCACACTTCATCCGATACGGAATGGGAAACTGTAATGGTTCCATAAAACCAGGGGGCATGAGGCTTCAGTGTCTGCGTTTCCGAAGGGCAGATAATTGGGTGGCCGTGAGCAGGATGGCCCAGGAGAGAAGGGGAGGGAGTGCTGGCTGAGGAACAGGAGTAGAGATTATCAGGAAGAAACTACAGACACGGTGCAGATGAGGTAAGACGGCAGGTGAAACCAGAGCAAAGGGAGCAATAACAGACGATGCTCTGAATCTCAGTGTATTACTGAGGCCAGATCTTGGTAATAACTGAGTGGAAACAGGTGATGAGAGGGAAGTAAAAGATGCTTTTGAGGCTTCTGCCTTGGAAACTGCATGAAGTATGATGTTTATACACACTAGTCATTCGCACTTAAGGAACAGGCACAGAAAGTAAATCCAGGGGAAAATTAAGACGAGAAGAACCAGGAGAAAAACCAAGAGGATAGAGACGAAGGATGAATGGAGGCCATTAGCAACCTCTGCAAAAGCAAAGTCGGGAAAGTAAGATTCAACAGCAGTGCAGCAGCGACTAGCTCAGGAAGTGTCTACTATGTGCAGGGAGCTATATTTTTCCAAACCCAAACCCAAGCTTACTGAATTATGTTGTTTCAAAAATTCTGCAGCATTTTCTTCTGCGTTACCGCCAATTTCACCAATCAATATGATGCCTTCTGTGGCTGGATCATTCAGAAAGATTTCAAGGCAGTCAATAAAATCTGTGCCATTAAAAGGATCACCTCCAATGCCTGAAAAAGTTGAAGAATATCAACACCAGCAGAAAATTTAAGGACAAACCACAAAAATTAGGCTTAGAAATGTTGTTTCAACTCATTTCTTACTTTGCTTACCCCTCTCACCACTGTTTTAAAATGTATCATCACTCTTGCACTGAACATTAAAAACAATCACAAAGTGCTACATTTATTTGTTTCTAATATTACATGAATGCTAAATGGTGGTTGCCTTTTGATACTCACAAAGACTACCTTCTTTTTGTTTTAGCTCCTTTGTCAAGCTTCTTCCCTCCCACAAAATTATTCCCAAATAACTCTTTCAAGCATTTTAAGAAAATGTGTGTTTGTGCTGCAAGCTACAGAAGACAAAAGAATGTCTCTTCTCTGATTAAAACTTTTACAAATTTCTTTGCACAAAGTAACTATTAGATGAGGCACACTGCAGAGAAACTGCATACACGTTTCAAGACACAAGTCCCAGTGAGGGATAGAGTTGGGGGTGCACTGACCCCTCTTCCCTTAGATCCAGGGTAATGACTACAGCACAAGCATTTAAAGACAACTACTTGGATAGGATTAAAGTAAATGTTCCCAACAGATTGGCTGACACTTTAAAAAACTTTTACAGTGTAAACTTACTGAAGGCAGGATTGATTTCCTACTTTTCAATGCACCTCTGAAGAGAAGTTGCATTTGAGTGCCAAATGTGTGTCAAGGACTGTGCCTCAGCACACGTTAGACCTGCCATTTCCTAATTCTTCTAACCTCTCTGTGAAATGGGCATTATTATTAGCATTTTACAAATTAAAAACAGACACTGGAGAACATGACTTTGGCAACTCTGTTTCAAACCTGTTCTTATTCTCCATCAGTCAGGATGAGGTCAGTGTAGTCTGATCAGAGTTCTGATCAGACTGTTCTTATTCTCCATCACTTTGTGGCTAAGATTGTGCTTTGTACACAGAGAAGCTCAATTAAGGTTTCCAATAGTGATTTTATGGCTCTCAATCCTAATAATGCTCCAGGGCTATATTGTATAATTTATTATAAAAAGCTATTTTTGAAAGGCTTTTATTTTTTAAATTTTATTTATTTTGACAGAGAGAGAGGCAGAGAGAGAGGGAGAGAATCCCAAGCAGGCTCCTGCGCTGTCAGCACAGGGCCCTACGTGGGGCTTGATCTCATGAATCATGAGATCACAACCTGAGTTGAAATCAAGAGTCAGACGCTTAGCCGACTGAGCCACCCAGACGCCCCTTGAAAGGCTTTTAAAAGTTATTCTAAAAATTTGAAGAAATATTTATAAAAATGAGAAAACTGCCTGGCTTTGGCAACAAATACTAAAATTATTTTGAAATGTAAAACCTTGTTACTTTTAAAAGAGGTAGGCAGTATAATGAGATAAAAAAGAGGTTCTGGGAGCTCAATCATCCTCAACATAGATTTTCTCACCAATAAAGCTACAATAGCACAACTTTTCAGCTCAGAGGTGCCTCAGAAGGTTGCCTTAAGAATAAGACAACAGAGGCGCCTGGGTGGCTCAGTCGGTTGAGCGTCAGACTTCGGCTCAGGTTATGATCTGACAGTCTGTGGGTTCGAGCCCCATGTCGGGCTCTGTGCTGACAGCTCAGAGCCTAGAGCCTGTTTCAGATTCTGTGTCTCCCTCTCTCTCTGCCCCTCCCCTGTTCATGCTTTCTCTCTGTCTCAAAAATAAATAAACGTTAAAAAAATTAAAAAAAAAAAAAAAAAGAATAAGACAACAAACAGCAAAGAATTCCCTAACTGTGAAGCATAAATAACAGTTTACAATGGCAACAAAATTATAATTACAGTAACAAAAGTCCTAATGAAGAACCATTTCTTCACAGCAAGTCAAGTAAGTGGTGTTTTCAGGCACCAAGCCTCTTCCGGAGCTAAATGTCCCACGATGCTTGTTCCTCAACATGAAAGTCAAACCCTGGACCATGAATCTTGAAAATATATGGTGGTGCTTCACACTTCGGCAAATTAAATTTAAGATCACACCATCTTTTTAATGAAATGGTTATCAAAACTTCTTACAAAAAAATCAAAATAATAATTAGTACTCTACTCTTTCAGTGAAGACACTGTGTTACAGTAAAATGATTTTATCAAAAATCTCTCACCAACGCACAAAGACTGCCCCAGTCCAACTTGTGTTGTTTGGTGAACCGCTTCATAAGTCAGGGTCCCAGATCTGGATACAATACCTTAAAGGAAGAGAATTTAAAAACATTAGGTTATATTCATATGACAGACTATCGTATTACAAATACAAGTATATAAAAAAACCCATTCCACAATTTGCCATCCAAATCAACAATACCTTCAAATGATGAAATAAGAAAAGGTTTAAATTAAAGCAGGGAAGTTTTAAAAGTTAGACCAAGGGGAGACTACACCATTAGTTAGGATTATTTCACGTCAACAAAGCAGTGTAGGAAAGACCTACATTACCTGCTCTAAGAATCTGTATGAAAGGGGTAGTATCAATATGAACTTGCTAAGTACAATCCTGCTTAGAGTGGCAGAAAATAACCGGTTAGATTTATACATACCCAAACTATTAAGCCACTAAAACATTCAGCCTGCAAACCAGCATTAGTCACATTTAGGAATGCTATATATCTTTCCCACAATTATTTTTCTACTAATTTTCAAATAATATATAGACTTTAAAAAATCAATGTAGAAAACTTTTTAATGTTTATTTATTGAGAGAGAGAGAGAGACAGACAGGGCGGGCAGGGGAGGGGCAGAGACAGGGAGACACAGAATCCAAAGCAGGCTCCAGACTCCAAGCTGTCAGCACAGAGCCTGATGTGGGGCTCGAACTCACAAACCATGAGATCTTGACCCAAGCCAAAGTCGGATGCTTAACTGACTGAGCCACCCAGGTGCCCCTCAAATCGATATAAAGATAACTAGGGAATAAGGCCAAGATACCTCTGCGTTCAAGTCTATCTTACCTAATTCCCTTCATACCATGGGCCTATGAGAAAGTGCCTAAGTTCTCATCTGGACAAGGTGCGTACTTGTGGGGACGAGGGTGGGGGTACTTAGATGTCCTCTCTACTGTAGTTCACCATGCATTGCTGAGCTACAGGGAAGATAATTTCTTTCATGCCACAATCTGTATATAATAGGTGAATCCCTATATATAACAGGTTGAGAATAACTGAGTAACTTCAGTTGTCAGAATATATTATATAAAAAATTTTTTAAATAAAACACAAAACTTTGTATGGGCTAAAAACAGAGGAAGGATTACGGGGTGGTGAATACTTCCAGCATGTCCATGATTTGCTTTCTTTAAACTTCTGCCTTGGAGCACTTCTTTTTTTAAAATTTTTTTTTTTTTAACATTTATTTATTTTTGAGACAGAGAGAGACAGAGCATGAACGGGGGAGGGTCAGAGAGAGGGAGACACAGAATCTGAAACAGGCTCCAGGCTCTGAGCTGTCAGCACAGAGCCCAACGCGGGGCTTGAACTCACGAACTGCGAGATCATGACCTGAGCCGAAGTCGGCCGCTTAACCAACTGAGCCACCCAGGCGCCCCTGCCTTAGAGCACTTCTTAAGAACTCAGAAACTCTTCTAACAATATGATCCGCCTATCAGGGCAAGTAGAATTCTTGTCAGACTCAGACAAAAACCATAACTACAAGCTACTTCAACTTTAGTACAGCATATTTACATTCTTAAGCAAAGTTCTGTGTTATCATCGCTATATACTCATAGTAACACCAGGATGTTATCATTTTTCTAAGGGGCTTTCAACTGATTATAGAAATGATACGTAAATTACATAAATGCAAAATGCATACACAGAAGGTAACAAAAGTCATGTTTTTAGGGTAGATTACTCCTATGATCCTTACAGTATATATAGTAAAAGAGGCTATCACTGAAAAATACCTATCACAAGGATACTTCTGCTTCTGAGTAGAAGTACTTTCCTCTGTTCTTCCTGTTAAGTAAAATCCCTGGGCATTATATAGAAAACAAATACAAGAAATCTCTAAGAGATGAAAAAGGCAAGGTGACTAGGGACTTTGAGACTCAAGAAATGATACACCGGTGAGCTCCCTGGGTTTTCTTTTGCCTCATGCATCCTAGATATGGAGCTAAAGCAGACAATATTCCAGAAACACATAAGGGTATAGAAAAAAGCATCTTCCCTCAAAGCTTGCTCTCTCTAGCAGAACAGTCAAGGACAGCCTAAGAAAACAGAAAACTCTGAGGCAATAACTATACCATACCAACCAAACACTACAGGAAAAAACTGTGCCTCCACCCTCACTCATATGAGCAAAGGGCCAAAAGGGAATCCTAGACTTCCACATTTAGGAGGCTGCAATGAGGCACCCCAACATACCTTCCAGGTTGGTGAAAGAGAAAGCCAAGTAGGCAGTCAGAACATTCATGTGTGCCGGCTGATAATGAGCCCCACCCCCACCATGTGGGTGGAAACCATGTGGGGAGCCTGCATGTCTATCTTCATCCAGCAGTACTGAGGCTCTTCTCTGGTCTCAGAGAAGGCACTGTGGAGAGTCAGAGCTTTCACCATCACCCAACAATAACAAGGCCATCCCCACTGAATGTCAGTAGGGACCAAGCAGGGGAGCAGAACTGTCATCCCCAGTAAGGAAGAGCCCACCCACTCCAGTATCAATGGAAGCAAGTAGGGAACTTGGACTTCTACATCTATCTGGTAGTAATGAGACGCCTCCCCCAACAATCTCTGCTGAAGCAGTGTCAGTACGAGGTTCAAAGAAGACCCAGAGTCTCATAACATAATACACAAATTATCCACGGTTCAATCAAAAATCATTCAGAATATTAAGAACTAGGGAGAACTCAAACTGAATGAAAAGAGAATCAACAGATGCTAACACCAAGATGAAGAATTATCTAACAAGGATTTAAAGAAGGCATGCTAAAAATGCTTTAAACAAACAATTATGAACATGCTTGAAACCAAATGAGAAAACAGAAAGCCCTTATCAAAAAAAAAAAAAAAAAATTTGAAGTCTCAGCAAAAAAATAGAAGATATAAAGAGAACCCAAATGTAAATTTCAGAAGTGAAAAATAAAACAACCAAAGCTAAAAGCTCAGTGGATGAGTTCAATGGCATAAAGGAGGGGAGGGAGGAAAGAATCCATGAAATGGAAATTACCCAATTTGAATGACAGAGCGAAAACAGACCAGGGAAAAAAGCAGACAGATCCTCAGGGACCTATGGTACTACATGTGAATTTACAATTATAGGCCCCTTACCCCAAAGGCTGAAGGAAGGCAGCCCTTTAGACCAGGTGGGGAGTTATAAAGGACCTCAGTAACTGCTCCCAGAGAGCACCTGCCCCATGAGGGATAAGGGGAGCAAAACAGGATAAATAATAGCCAATGGAAGAAATGCGACTATTAGGTGACGGTGTTTCAGAGTGATGGTGGGGTGAAGACGTCTTTGGTGCAAAAAGTTTCTGGAGTCCCCGTGTTTCTGGGAGGTGAAGTGGGAGGGAGTGATCCCTTGCACCCCTCAGTCCCCCTACTATGACGCCTCCATAGCCTACAGAGAAACAATGACCACGTGCATCGCAGCGCATTGCCTCACAGCAGAACGCCACACATTCGGAGCCAGAACGGCTCTGCGGGTATTGGTTTTTTGCACTGAATGTAGTGCACTGAACACACTCATCTTCGTGGGCTTGTGTTACCCCAGGATACTGTTAAAGGGCTACTTCAACAAACAAATCAAAGCACACTTGGTGGAGGGTTCAAAACATCACTACAGGCAGGGAGATAAAACAGAGTCACAACAACAGAGAGCAAGTAACACACTCCAAAAAACACGTCCTCAAGGGCCAGGCCCTGGATAGCTTATGACACCTCTTTAATATAGTGGTGCTCACAGATGCAGGACACATAACAAGCTTTTAAAACACATAGGAGACAGAAAACTAGTCAAAATGATGAAACGGAAGAATTCTCCTCAGAAGAAATTCCAGGAAGAAATGACAGCTAAAGAACTGATCAAAACAGATATAAAGAATAAAACTGAACAAGAATTTAGAATAATAGTCATAAGATTAATCACTAGGCTTGAAAAAAGTATAGAAGATAGCAGAGAATCTATCACTGCAGAGACCAAGGAACTAAAAAACAGTCATGATGAATTAAAAAATGCTGTAAATGAGGTGCAAAATAAAGTAGAGGCAGTGACAGCGAGGACTGAAGAGGCAGAGGGGAGAATAGGTGAAATAGAAGATAAAATTATGGAAAAAGAAAGCTGAGAGAAAGAAAGATAAAAAAAGTCTGGACCATGAGGGGAGAATTAGAGAACTAAGTGATTCAGTGAAACGTAATAATATCCGTATCATAGGCGTTCCAGAAGAAGAAGACAGAGAGAAAAGGGCAGAAGGTGTACTTGAACAAATCATAGCTGAGAACTTCCCCAATCTGGGAAAGGAAACAGACACTGAAATCCAGGAGGCACAGAGCACTCTCTTCAGACATAACTTGAATTGATCTTCTGCATGACATTTCATAGTGAAACTGGCAAAATACAAAGACAAAGAGAGAATTCTGAAAGCAGCTAGGGACAAAAAGCCCTTAACCTACAAGGGTAGACACATATGGGTAGTAGCAGACCTATCTACTGAAACTTGGCAGGGCAGAAAGGAGTGGCAGGAAATTTTCAATGTGTTGCATAGGAAAAATATGCAGCCAAGAACCCATTATCCAGCAAGCCTGTCATTCAGAATAGAAGGAGAGATAAAGGTTTTCCGAGACAAACAAAAACTGAAGGAATTCATCACCACTAAACCAGCCCTACAAGAGATCCTAAGGGGGACTCTGTGAGTGGAATGTTGCAAAGACTACAAAGGACCAGAGATACCTCTACAAGCATGAGACCTACAGATAACACAATGACTCAAAACCCGTATCTTTCAATAATAACACTGAATGTAAACGGACTAAATGCTCGAATCAAAAGCCACGGGGTATCAGAATGGATAAAAACACAAGACTCACCTACTTGCTGTCTACAAAAGACCCATTTTAGACCTGAGGACACCTTCAGACTGAAAGTGAGGGGATAGAGAACCATCTTATCATGCTACTGGAAGTCAAAAGAAAGCTGGAGTAGCTATACTTATATCAGACAAACTAGATTTTAAATGAAAGACTGTAACAAGAGATGAAGA